GGGTTTAATCTGTTTACCATGACATTACTATTAATGGTTTCATCATCAATTCTGCTTTCCCACCAGTGTTAAGGATGGAGTTTCCAGATGGGCAATCCTAGCTGTCAGCCACTTGTCCCTTATCCATGGCCACAGGCTACCAAGTGAGCCTTGTAGCTGGCCACACCATCAGTCCCGTGGTGAGTGTGCCCTGGGCTCACCATCCCGCTTTTTGAAACCCTTTAAAACTCTTTTAATGGATGCTTTTAATGCATCCACCACACTTGCCTAATGGCCTCAGGAAAACGAAAAGAAGAGGCTTTTGTTATGTTGTTAAGCAGCGTTTGGCTAATGTTATGGGCTCCTGGCCTCCGGGTCCCTCTGCTCATGTTTTCTTCTTATTTCTCTGAAAGCTTTAAGGCAGGGCAAGCCGGGGCTGCTCCTGTTGGCAAAAACTAGCAAAAATTAGTCCTCCTATGAGTTTGGCTGTTTGCTCTCTGCAGACGATTGCTCTGCACCCTCCTGGCAGCAGCACCTTGGGGCACGTCAGTCCCGTGCAGGACAGGGCGATGCATTTTGTTCCTCCCTTTCATGGCAAGACTGAAAGGACACGAAGAAGAGTGGGCAGCTGTGGGCTTAGCTGACAGCCGGAGAGGAGCTTTGCTAGTAGAAAAGCCCGGGGAAGAGCAAGGAAGGCTGCTGGCAAAAGTCAGCAAGGGACTCTCTCTCCAGATGCAAGAGAAACAAAGGAATTATAAGTAACATGCTGAAGTACGCAGATAAAGTTACCCAAGTTATTTTGACCGTAAAGCCTAGGACGGTAAAGGCTCTTAACCTCTATTAATCAGCAAGAAGCTGGAAGAGGCCTCACAATGATTTCAGCTGCTGAAGCTGCTGCGCCCTTTTGCTCCCTTTAATTTAATTGTATTAGTCCTGCCCGCGTCCTTTGTTCTTCCGCCCCGCTCAGGAAATCTGCTGCTGGTTTTGGCAGGGCTCGCTCTGGCTCCACATGGCTGGTTTGCGGACAGCCAGGACTGACGAGAGGGAGGGCAGGAAAGGGAAGAGGATGGGAAAAGGACCCGTGGGAGCAACCTGCTTAATGTGCCTCATTTGTCTTAATAGTGCCACCGCGTCCCTTCCCGGTGAAACTTCCTCCTGATAAGCCAAACAGGCAAAACTGAATGCAGAAGGGCTCCTGCTGATTTCAGCAGAGATGAGATTTCATGCTTAAATCTTAAAAAAAAAAGATGAGCGCCCGCAAGCCAAGTCTTGCGCTGCAGGAGCTGCCAAGCCAGCGATCGCTCCTATCCCCAGCCTTCGGCTGTGCTGAGGGGTCGGGGTGTCTTGCCTTTAGCTTGGCTGTTCTGGTTTGTACCACTTGTTCCTCATCAGGCCGGTAAGAAATAAGAGCAACAGCTTAGCCCTGGGTCCTCCACTTGCTTAGCGTGCAGAAAAGAGTCCAGCGAGCACAGCAGAGGGATTATCAGTGCTAACCCCGGGATGTTTTCTCTGCTGGTGGCGATAGCATCACTGTACCCCTTGCCAAAGCACTGTTCCTCAGGGCTGTCGTGGGCTGCAAACCCTCCCCTGCCATCCTGCTGCTTGCTGGACTCCTCCAAACCGTCACCACCTCCTTCCTACCCACCTCCGCAGGGCTGCGGCTCCCCTCCCAGCGGCACCCAAGGGTGTGGATAGAGTTTTCCCTGGTGCGGGTGACACGGAGCAGCTCTAGCTGAGGATCCAGCAGCATCACTGCAACTTCACCAGTTTCCCCAGCAAACGTGTTGACCTCAGGTCTCCTGCTCGGCATCATTGCAAGAATACTGTCAGCTCAACCTGGTGGCGTTTGTCTTCCCTGCTGCCAGAAATAATAATTCAGCACATGCACGCTGGTTTTAGCACTCGTGTCCCTTTACATGACAGCGTAAATATTTCTGTGTCTTCGTGTAAGAGGAGAAGACCATTACCTACAGTCCCTCACCTACCCAAGCCCCAAAGCAAACACCACGGGGAGTTCAGAGGTGATGATGTGTCAGGGCTTCAGGAAAGCCACCCTGCGCTGCTGCTTTGTAAAACAGTTGCCTTTCACTATAGGAGTGGGAGGATGCGTCCCCCTGATGCTTACCGAAGGGTGTCGTCGTGCGTGATTCATGGGTTGTAACGGAAACATCAGAAAAAAAGAAACGAAGATACATCAGAAAAAAAAAAGAATGACCTGCTGTGTTGATATGGCATTCTTTATGACCCTTGGTTTTACTTCATCTTTCTCAAACAAGCAAACAAACAAATGCGGGAGGTGGTTTCCTGGACACGGATGCGTTATCTCCAATTCCAGAGCTCGTCCCTGCTGTGTAGGACAGGATAGCGGAGCAGCTAACCCAGCGGGTACCTGCAGCACCTTTCCATCAACAAATGGTAATGCTTAGTATGTGGAAAAAGATGAAGCGCTTACAGAAAGCTGTGGCTAAGAAGAGGGATTTTCAGATGATCTTGAGTGCTTCAGGCTTGTCTGGGAAATGTGATTTTGAGCTCCACATTTTACTGGATTTCTCTGACTTCAGAGTCCAGCCGTACAAAATGCCACAAACCCATTACGGCAAGCCCAGGTTTTCCCAAATATGTAAAATGTCAAGGTTCTCCTCTCCCTTTCACAGCAATGGATTATCAGTCGTATGCTTCCAGTGAAGTAGTGCGTCGTTTGCTTACTAGTTTTGTAGGAGGATCCTTGCCTCATTGCTTGCTGTAATTCTTCTTGGATCTGAAGAGTAAAACATATTTATGTTGGCATGTGGGAGTCTGGAAAACCTCAGGAGAAGATAGGACTGGAAAGGAAGTTTTTCTGTCCAACGAAAATTTTTGTGATGCGTTTTTTCCATATCAGAATGAAAGCTTGAAATATAGAAATCCCAAAACCCATTAAGCCAGCTGCAGCTACTTATTTTGGTTATTTTATCCTTTCTATTTTTTTAGTAAATTTACTTTATGTTGCAATGCAAAGTAGAAATTCCGGATAAAAATTCGGGATAAAAATTTTATCCAAATTCTTGGATAAAAATTTGGGTCCACAAAGTTGATTTCAATAGATTGGGAACTGTTTAGCAGATAATTTTAAATCAGAAAGTGGCAAGCTGCTGCACTAAAAATAAAAAATAATGATCCAGTAAATGACTAATTTTGTGGTCCAGCGGAATTAGCGGAACAGCTTGGCGGATGGAAGGCAGCAGGTCTAAATTATTGCACTAAGTCCATTTGCAGGAAGATATTATCTGACTTTGTTGTTATTAATAATAATTAATGAGAATTAAAATATTCAGCTGGGATTTTTGCTGTTGCTATTAGCGGGAATACGTGTGTGTGTGTATATATATATATATGTATTTGCTCTTTGATGCTTTTCTTGGTTGTTTGCATCTCAATCCTTGACTGTCTTGCTCTGGGACTTTAATAATACTCTAGAAAATATTCAGACCGCACCTTTGTCTAGCACGGAGGAAACTTGAGGCTTTTACAATTAGTGCTGCTAGTTATTCCACGAAAAACATACGCCATGGTCTGACAAGGAAAGCAGCAGGAAGAAGTCAGGCAGTAAGCAGTCCTTTATCAGCAGGCTCGCAGGGAGCATCAGTTGGCGGCTTGCAGCTCGCTTTTGCATCCTGTTTTTGCAGCACGGGGATGCGGGGACGGCGCGGTCGCCTCCGAGACTGCATGGACTCGCACGGCTCCAAAGCCTTCTCTGGTGAAATCCAGGCATTGTTTTGCTGAAGTCCAAGGTGCTTTAATTTCGATGCCCCAAAGAGACCGTGACGGTCACTTCGTCTTGTCCCCTCTGTGCCACCAGCCTTTGGTGTTTCTGCTGGGCATTCCCGCCCCAAACCTGCGTCCTGTGGTAGGTTTTAAGCACATGTTTTATGAAACTCTTTGACTAACAGGGTTCCCATGCTGGGGAAGACCTTTAACGAGCCGGTTTAGTGGATAATTGCTCTCACTGTTAAAGACAAAACATGCTCCTCCCTTTGTTTTCAGCTCGACTCTCCTGAGTTTCAGTCTTCCAGCCCTGGACTTTGCTCCACCTGTATTTGGCAGAGTTAAAGTCCTTCAGAGTCTGAAATCTTCCCACATGCCCTTAAAGCCTAGGAGGAGTCGTTTCCCAATCTTCTCTTTTTAAGAAGCCAGTGATAATTGAGGACTTCTTATTGACTCTATTGACTTTTACGTGGTTTGTGTTTGGGTTTTTTAGATAAGTTGTAATTGTTCCTTTTTATCATTGTAAAAACTACTGTTAATAATTGCTGTTCCCTGGGTCTACATCTAAGGGTGAGGCCCCACTTCTGTTAAAGATCCAGCGGTTGGGGCTCTGATGGGCAGTTGAAGGGGTGCTGATTTGGTTTTGGGCACCTTTGGAGAAAAGTAGGTGCATCAATCAAAGTGCTGTTTACTCACCTCCTCAGAAGGCTTTGTAAATCATATTCGTTATTTTTAGCAGCTCCTTTTCAAGTGGCATTGGGTCTCCCTGGTTTCGGTTCTGGTTGTAGGCTGGGCTGTATTCTACCATCCCTAATCATCTTGAGTGCTTTCTTCACTCTCCTTAACTTCATTTGATTTTGCTGAGAAATTCCAAGGAGTGAGATGATACTTAAATGAATGAAACTGGGGATTAGATGGGGGATTAGATGGATCCTAACAAGCAGTTGCTGTGCTTTCCGTGGGAAGATCTCTAAACTTCATTAAACCAAGAGGGGCTCTTTTCCCCTGACACTTACAGATTTAAAAGCATTGTATTATACCCTATTATTAATACAAATGATAAACTATCTTGATGGCAATAGCCATCTTTTGGTGAAATTTCAAACCGTGGTCATATCCAAAGCCCCCATGGAAGGATGTGAGCTCTTTTATAGCCTTACGTACTGCGACTTCAAGGGGATTGTTCCTCACCCAAGTGCCCAAGCCGTTGCAGGACAGGGGTATAAATGTCTTGTTTATGCTATTTATCCACTGACCTGTATTTTTTCTGTTTGCAGCGTTTTTGTTCCTATGTATGTCGGGCTGGTGGGAAATCTCATAAATACCATGATAGCAATGGTTTGGATCCCTTTGCAGGCTAAACCAAAGTCAGACCATCGTGTGACGGAGCACAGTAAGTATTTAGTGTTTCTGATAAATAGCACATGGATAGGGACAGGGGACTGACGTGCTGTAAGGACTCTGCTAAAGGACTTGGGGTTGCATTTAAGGGCAAAAAAGGTGCCAAGCTTGAAATGCTGACACTTTAATGCCTAAGCTGTGCTTGTGGAAGAATATTATTCCCTACCTGCCGACCACTATGCCGTGCAGAATTGCAGCCCGGTGCTTGCCGCACATCTCAGAAAAGCTGAACGTGGACCCCTGGCTGGGGGTTAGTCTGGCCCGGCATGGGACGCAGTCCCGCTGTCTCACAGGGGTCCTCTGCGGACCCAGCACCGGCTCCCAACCTCCTGCTGTCGGCAGAAAGCTGGTGCTGGAGAGACTCACCTCTTCAGAAAGGTGGCGGTGAACCTGAGCAGACGGTCTCAGAGTCTCTTGCTTCCTGCTTCTAACCTGTTTGTAGACTATTAATCAAAATGTCGTTCTTCTGTAGGCACATCGCCGTCTGGCAGCGTGTTTAGCTTCAGAGAAATCCTATGCCTGATGAAGTTTCCGGGAGTAATGGAAATTTTCATAGTCAAGGTCTTTGCTGGACTTCCCGTAGGTAAACCTCACCCATTACCCGTGATTACTGATGTATTTAAAATAAGAGGACATACACTGTAGACCAGGCTTGTCTCAAGTTACTGAAAGCACGTTGCATTTGATCACGGCGCAGTGAGGATTCAGCTCCTAACTTGATGCTGGATGCTTTCAGATGCTCTCAGCCACATGGGGTCAAAAACCTGGGACTTAATGTAAAACAGACTACTTGCCACAGGCTGCTTCGGTGACTTTTGGCAAATCACTTAATCTCTCTACCCCATGCCCCTGGCCATAAATGTTTTTTTCCTCTCGTCTGTCATTTCTATTTAGGCTGTAACCTCTTCAGAGCAGAGGGAAATCATTTGTACTCTGCCAGAAACACTGAGGTCCTTCCTGATTTTACTTAATGATTTTAAGGGGTATGTGTACCCTAACCTTTTTCCCAACAACGAAAAACTATTGCTGGGCGGGAGGCTGTGGCTGCTCTAACTGTCGGCTGCAAGCAGGGGAACCACAGCATGTTTCTTCCCTTGCACGTTGATGGTGGTTCTTGTTCTTCTCTTTTCTGCTCGTTTTTTTGTGTCATGGTAGGAGCCTGCTGCTACCTCAGACCCATCCCAAACCTGCGCGTTTCCGCGCTCCCTTTGAGTCGGTTGCTGTCTTGGCATAGTCCGTGTCTCCCAATTTGCCTGGTTATACGTATCCTTGGTCACAATTTAATAATCTTTAATTTTGCCAACCCTGTAGCTTCTTTCCCCCCTGCTTGTCTAGAGACAAGCCAGCACGTCAGCCTCGTTAGTGGTGGTGTAAGGAAAGGGTGATGTTCTCTGCCCTTCCACACAGAGAGCCTTCAGGGCTCTTTTCCCAGTCAAACCTAAAGTGCAGTTTCTCTTGATTACAGTTTGAAGGATTGAATTTTGTACACATCAAAACATGTGCACATCATGCACCTGAACAAAATAAGGCAATTCCCTCCCGAACAAGGATCCTAAGAGAGGATTTAAGGTGCCTTAGCTTTGATACTTCGCATCTTTTTCTAATTCAACTGTGTCGCGAGAAGCCCTTGAAGTTTAAATAACATGAAACGTAATTTACAAATTAAATTCTAATTGTAAACTGTAAATTCAGTTTACAAATGAAAGTAGATTTGGCTGTGGAGAGTGGCTGAATCGGTAGGGGATGGCATTTCTGGGCTTGGCCAGGCTCGTCTGTTATTCCTTGCTAGGGCTCTGGGGGAACAAGTCCGACTGGAGCTGTAGAACAGCATGCAGGGAAGTAAAGGACTTCTGATTTTTTTTTTTTCTTTTTTTTCTTTTTGCGTGTAGTTGGCATTGGCTGAGACCAGTAATGCCAGTCGGTCCTACCCCCACCACTGGAGACAGGGTATTGTCTCGATGGACGGGTGGATTGCCCTAATAATGCATTTTTTAGGTTCTTCTGAAATTAAACTTTTAAAGTTGTATTTTTAAAGCTGTTTGTAAAATGACAGCGTTTCACAGAATGAGATAGTCAAGTGATGTTTTAAGAGGGTTTTCTTTGCTGATTCTGGCTCATTTCTCAGCTTAAAGTAGCGTTCATTTCTCTGTTTAAAAATGCCATCCCAAGACCGCATCCGTATGCAATCTGCACAGTAATTTCCTGTGCGCTCTCCTTTTTCCAAAGGCCGGGTGAGATGCACTTTGTTTTAGTCATCCCTGCTGCCATGCAAATTCCTCCCTGTTGCAGAAGACGTTCTTCTTTTGCCGTTGCACAGCGAAAACGCGCACCCCACCAAAGTAAACGTCTCCTGCCCAAAACTGCAAGGGAACTTCTAGGTAAAGAGAAGCCAGCGAAGCTGAGAGTTAAGGCAGGACACGGGCTGCCAGTCTGTCACTGAAATGGCTGGGAGTATTCAGTGAGAGTGGGAATGGGTTCGTCTGTGGCACTCCTGCTACAAGTAGAGTGCTTGCACTGCAGTGAGGAGGGATCAAAATCCTCCTGACTTCTCTTTGCAGGTCTCTCTTTAGGTTACTGGCCATACGATGGCAGCCGAAAGGGGATTTGGCCATCACCTACTTCTCTGCAGCTCACAGCTGGAGGCTGAGCTCCTCGTGAGCTCGTTTACCTTTCATCTCCCGGCTGCAACTGTATCATTAATTAGATCGCCCAAATTACAGACCGTTCTCTATTTACTTTGTAAACAAGTGTGTGCTATACACAGAAGAAAATCTTCTGTTCCTTATGGATCCTCATTGTTGTCTAAAATTAGCTTGTTTGGGACCGAAAGAGCCTCCCCGGGAGGGCTGCAGGGCCGGGAACCTCCTCCCCGTGTTGCATAAAAGCAGAGACACGGGCTCTGTGCCTCTTGCAGGAGGGGAGCTGCCAAGGGATGGACGGGCAGCAGGCCGCTTCAGCACGGCCAGATTACATCCTCAACTGACCTGGGAAAAGCGAGTCTCATTGCACTGTGGTAGATAAGAGACAGAAAACGAAACACGAGGATAAAAATGTCAAACATGCTTCTTACTGACGAGAAATCACCGAGGCCTTGAAAATACTGATAAATAGCTGCTTGTGTGAATCTTTGGCTGCCTAATCCCGTTGGAAAACCTGGTTTTAATGTGATGGCTTTAGCACCCGCGTCCCGTTTTTAAAGGGACTTTCTTTCACACGCAGAGCAGGATTTTGCAGTGGGCCCTGGGGCTCTGCACCCCATCGCATTTGCAATCCAGCGTAGGAGGGCTGAGGCGGGCTCCCAGAGGCCGTGCTCGCCCTTTCACACCGGCTCTGGGTAAGGATTGCTAAGCTGGCCTTCCCAAAGCCGCGGGCTGCTTTTAGAAATGTCGTGTCTTTTTTTTTGAAAATACGACACTCCTGTGTCTCCTTGGTGCTTTTCCTCATCTTTATCGCATCTCGCAAACCATTTACCTGCCTTCTGCTACATAACCCCGCTACTCACCCCTCTGGTGCCAGGTTTTCTAAGGAGTTCACCCCTTATTTAGACCCCGCCCAAAAAAGCGAGGTTTTTGAGGATATTTTTTGCTATTTTCCTTTTTTTTCCTATTGAAAACCTGAGCCTCGCAGTGTGGGTTGAAGCTTATTCCAGCAGCTTCTGTGTGGAGTTTTGGTGTCCCCAGAAGAGCCCTCCCCAGGGGTACGTCACTCACGTGGCTGTGCTCAGCCGACCTGCAGCCTACCCAGGTGGGACCCGCTAAGGTGTTTGTAAGAAATGCTTATGCATGTTCAGATGACCAGAAAATCTTTTGAGTTCAATCTAGGGCTCATCCTACACCAAAAAATGTGTTGCCAGTGGGAGAGACCCCCTTAAAGCGGAGGGAGCAGGGGGGTGTCCCTTGTCCAGGTAGCTTTAAGTGACCATGCAGGCAGGGGGAGATGACACCCGTCTAAAGAAGAGACCTCTGCATCTCCAGGGGAGCCATGCAATGTGTAATGCTAATTAAGGAGCACAGCCTATCTCCCTGCTCCGAAAGAAATCGTCTCATTTGGAGAAGAAAGATCCAAATCTGCCTTAACTTGGTGAGGGACTTCAAAGGGGAGAGGAGCTGTAGAAGCTGGCGCGTGGTACCAGGAAGAAGCGTCAGGTATGTAGGAAGGTTGAACCCCTCCTAGGTGGTACCTGCAGCAGGGTAGCAGGATGAAGGGCGAGCACCCGCTTCAATCTAATCTTCCTGCAAGTGAAACGAAGTGTGGTTTTGCTTTCATTTCTTCACGTGTGCCTTTTATAAACATGTGCGACTCCGTTGCCTGGTTTGGATGTTGTGAGTAAATACTGTTATTTGCATGTTACCTTAAGCTGGCTTGAGCTAAGAGCGATTTCAAAGTAACTGGATAACGACGGGGTGCTCTCCGCGGAGGGGTGTGGTGAAGCCATAAATCTTCATGAGCCCCAGCTCCCTGGCACCTTCTCCAAATATCCAGAGAGTAGCAGAGCGGGGTGCCCTTCCTGCCCCCCATCCCTCTCCCCCAACGCCATGGGGCCAGCTGGGGTGCAGCTATCCCCATTAAGGGGGGAAGAGGTGTCTCTGGTGGGGTTTGGGAAAGCTTTATGGCAGGTCCTGGGGTGGGAGGATGGTGGTCCCTCCAGGCAAAGGCTTGGGGTGCTTGGAGGGAGGTCCTTGTTTCTGCAGGTGCTCCACTGGTAGCAGCGCCGTCGGGCTGCTGGATGCGGTGGAGTTGCGCTGGTTTGTCAGGGTGCGAGTCCTCCGCGGCGTTTTAGTCAGCAACTTGGGATCCCTCTCCTCACGCTTCTGGGAAACGCCAGCAGACCCTTCCCGTGCTGCGGGGTTAGTGACTCGCTTTGCCAGGCCACAAGCTGTCTTCTCAGTCCTCACACATTGCCTCCTGGGCTCTGTTTTCTTCAGGAAAGGGAGGACCGCAGCTCCCTATTTACCCGGTCTTTGTACCTCGGAGGGTCCTACGAGGAAGGGCAGGACCCCTAAAGGTCGTCTGCTCTCTTCTCCTCTCCCCAGCAGGATGGGTGCTCTCCGACGGACGCGTTGTGGGGATGTTCATGCGCAGAGAGCCCCAGTTTCCTACTGCCTTGGTCCATCTGAGGTGCACAAGACGTTAGGGGAGGCAGCAGCCTCCTACCCCATACCAGCTCTTTGAGAGCAATGTTTTGTCATAATATTTTTAATTTGATGGCTCTTTGTGTATGATGGGAGCGTGTGCACGCGTGTCTGTATTTGTGTATGTTTGGCACTGGGGGAAACGCGCGCTATTGTATTTTCATGTGAGATGAAGTGAGTGGGCATTTTCCGTTATGCTTTCCAGAAATTGCCTTAATTGAACAGCAGACCCAGCCTGTGCTGTTTCTGTCCGTACTTTCCCGACTGCTTGTGTCGACACCGCTGTCGGTCCAGGAGAGCGAGAGATTTCACGTGCCACCGACGTCACTGCCCAGGTGCGCAGTGAAAGGCTGTGTTTAGGCTGATGTCACCAGCTTGTTTCCCAGGCAGTGTTCCCCATGGCCAAAATCTAAAGTTAGGCAAAAGGGGCGAGGAATCCAATCAGATTATTTTTATGGTTACAGTCTTGTCTGAACAAATGTTTTCTCACTGCCTTAATGGTTAGTTTGGCTTCGGTGATAAAAATATTTACCAGTTTATAATAAACAGCTGAATCTACAGCCTACATAGTCACATTATTTTAAAGATGAAAGTAAGGGGGATAAAAAAGTTAACATTTAAAGATTAAATTACTACATTGACTTTGAATAGGATTCTGCTCGTGTTTATATCCAGTCCCGGTAACCCCAGGGAGAGCTACTGACTCATGCTGGAGGTGACTGGGAGCAGGGTCTTGGCCACTGTATGCAGTGCAAGTATATTGATGTATGCTTTTCGTTAACCCTCCCTCTAGGTTTCTTCCTGATAATGTTTTCCATCATCTCTATGGATTTCTTTGGCTTGGAAGCAGTGGAGTCTGGATACCTGATGTCATATTTTGGTGTCCTTCAAATGGTAAGTGAAGTGGAAGTCCCCCTCTTGCCACACTGCTAGCTAATTTGCTCCCTTTTTGACACATGCTCTCCCAAATCCAGGCATAATATATTGATGGGCAAATCCTCTGCCATGTGGCACTTGGCTTCAAAAAATAGAAGTGACTCCAAATTTATTCTTTGCCTTGGAATGGGAAGAAATCAGAGCAAGGAGTGTCCTGAAAGCTGTCTTCCCCTTGTCTCTCTTTGCAGATCTTTAAGCGGCGGAGCTAAAATTTGCTTGGACTGACGTGTCGTCCTGGGTTTTGTAACAAAACTTACATTGAAGCTAAAGTGCCCTGACTAAGGTTTTCACTGGTGCAGGTTACCTGATTTACATTTACTTAGTAGCACCCTGTAAATTTATGTAAGTAGACGGTCTTACTGGTGTTTTCACAGATGCCTTCAGTGTCGAGGAAGGGCTCATTTCTGCTGTGTGGAAACAAGCACAGCAAGCTTGTAATTTAAAAAAAAAAAAAAATTTAAAGATGGGCAATGGTACGTGATTAGGAGGCTTGCAAAATGGGTGGAAGGGAAAAGTAAGCTGAATTAGGCAGTAGCAGGGCCAAAAAAATAAGATGCTATATTATAGCAGAATTTTCCTTTTGGAGGAAGAGGAAGAGGCTAATAATTTTGCAGAAAGAGCAATAGATGGTTATAAGCAAGCCTCAAGGTAGGAATGCAAGTTAAGCAATATCCTGAAGGAGGGTGGTCTTGTCATTAAGTCCGCCTTCATTTCCTGGGCATTGCCGCAGAGTTTCTGTGGGTTCTGGAGGAGCTTCTCATCTGGGAAATGGCAGCTTTAGTTCCTTCCCTTGTGATCTGGATTTGGCACTATAGTGCCAAATATATAGTGTTACTATAGTGTTACCAGTTGCCTGGGCTCTGCCCTGGTCTCACCAAACCTGGACACCTTGGACACCAGCTCACGAGCATGGCAGTACATCAGGAGTCTGCAGAGTAAACCGGCTGGAGCTGAGGAGCTGGTGCCTTTGCCACGTCCGTTCTGGGAGGGTGGCTTTGGACTAGCTGTCGCTCAACATTTTCTACCAGCTGGATGCACCCCTCCCATCCAGTCTCGTCGGAAAGAAAACCAGTTTGCTGCTCGCATGGAAACAGCGTGACGAGTGGGGTGATATTCAGCTGCTTTCCAAAGCATGCTTCTGACCCGAACCCCACTGCTAACAGAGGCTTTCCCTGTGTTAGTCTTTGTATGCCCCCTCCCAGACCGGGGTCTGCAGGAACCACTTAGGTTTCAGAGCGGCCGAGTCACCCTCTGCTATCTTCTTCCCGCTTTGAATGTAGAGGGACTTCCCAACAGCTACGCTCTTAACTGAGACCTAGCAGTTAAATCCCTGTTATGTACGTCTACACTGAAACCAAATTCGGGGTTGCAGCATGGATGTGGTGTGCTTGTTTCGAGCCAGCTAACGTGGGCAGCAATAGCACAGCAGGTAAAAACAGCACTTGTAGAGCCGGGGCAGGAGTGGCTTCGTGTTGCTAGATGGAGCTTGGACGCTGCTGTTAGGTCCAGGATATCTGTCTTCAGGACACTGCTGTTAAGTCTGGGATACCTGTCTGTCTTCACTGCTATTGTTTCCCAGGTTAGTTTGGTTGAAACTACTGTAGATAAGGTTACTTGTGCTGCTGTGCCGGTGCACCCTATGTATAGATGCAGCCCTGGAAGATACGGGAATTATAGCGTTCACTCTGCTTCCTGACGAATAATCAGATGTCAGTGCTAACCAGGGACCTGCCCCTTCCCATAGTCACAGGGTTCCATCCCGCAGAGGCCAATCGTACCCAGGACCACGCTCTAATCCAGCCGTGGCCTACAGGCTCAGGTGCAGCATCTGCTTTGCTGGGGAGTCTTTGCCTCGGGACATTTGGCACAGAAACTAGCTTTTGTCAGCCAGGCAGTTTTCTTTCATCTATCCGTGCAGTTTCTGTCCATGTTGCTACACATATTCTACAGCACATGACTCTGGACATCAGAAATATAAGAGGAGTGAAGGGGTCATAGGGTACAAACTTCTCTTCTTCATGATGCTGCATTGGGGTTTGCTGTCAGAACACCAAAGGCGAAAAAAATGCTTTATTTTGTTTTTAAAAGCTCAGGACACCTGATTCCTGGTGGCAGCAAAGCCATCTTGCCCGAGAGCTTGCAAAGCACTGCTTGCTGCTTTGTTGCTTGTTCTTTCCACTTTATCACCAGCAGTTCCAAGCTCTGCTCTGGTTTATGCAGGACCAGATCCTCAGCTAGTCCAAACGATACTCTCACCACCTGGCTTTTAAATTATTGTAAAGCATTAGAATTCGTGTCTTTACTTTCAAATCAAGTCTCTGGCTGGAACCGCCCAAAGGTGTCTCTTGCAGATAGTGACTGGATTAATGTTTTACGGCTGCTTGCTGGTGGGGTTCCTCCAGTGGGAAGGTGTATGCAGGGAATGCAACGTGTGCCGGCTCTGTCCTGCCGAGCCCCAGAGCTGCTTGTGTGCCTTCGTCTTGCCTCAGCTGGCATTTCAGATGCATTTGTTTCTATTGTACGGTGAATTGATACTGCTGGAGATATAAATGCAGATTAAGGTGCAAGCAAATTCCACCAGTCTGGATGGGTGAACAGTGATTAATATCTGCTGACTGGCTTCCCCACTTCACTAAGTAAATTATAGCTTTATTCATAAGGAATATAATGTCCTTTTCAGTGAATTTCATCAACCAGATCCTCAGCTTTGATTTCTCGTTCCTTAGTTTGCCTTTTCATAAAATATTGTGGGGTTTTTCCCATTCTCCTGGGCTTGCTCTGAGCCCTCCTGTTAGAGGAAACGTTCCCCTCCTGTTTGCATCCCTCCCTGGTCCTGAAAACGGGTCACGTTTAAGGACTTTTATAGATGGCAGCAGATGTCAGAGAAATGAAGGGGAAAATAAAAACCAAGCCATGTCCTGTTTACTCCAAACCTCCCTGTAGACATTGAACACAGTGCCTGGGCGGTGGCCCGGCACAGCCGGCTGATATGCCCAGCGCCGTGTCCCAGGGTCTCGCCTGCTGCCAGCACACGTTGCACGCACTAAGCAGCTTCAGAGGCTCACCGGGAACGGCACAGCGAGCAAGGCTTAGCTGAGCCCTTCACTCAGCTCTTCCCCAATAGTCATGCGCCAAAAAAAGCATTGTCCGGTCTGCCAATTCCTGCCAACTTTTAGTAGTATTATTGCTTTGTGTTATTGTAGTTCCTTTTGTTTTTTATGAGATCTTCTAAAAACGAACATCTTCCTCTAGCACAGGTGATGTTGCAGCCTCCTTTCCCAGTCCGATCGGTAATCCCAGGATGACTCGAATAGCAATAGTCTCTTCCCGCTTTCCTTTCCCACCCCAAGGATATTATGCTCCAATTGCTTAACCTAATTTTTCAGCTTCTCAGCCTCTTTTAACCTCCTGTGGTAAGAAGCGGGCAATGCACTGTAAACATCTCTCTTTCTCACTGTTCCTCCCATTCAAGCCGGCTGCAGAGCTCCTACAAGGGAGATTTGGAATGGCTTTGGGTCAATCCACCTAATTTTCGGTAGGCAACTCAAGTACTTTGTTGTCGGTACCTCAAACACCTCTTTGCATGGGGAGATCAGCACAGAAACACTGACCCCAGGGGAGGCGAGGCATTTGCCACCTTTGCAGATGGAGGATGTTAGTGAGCAGCCCAGCTAATCAGGCAGCCCTCCTGAATCCCATCTGGAGCTCCTCCGCCTCACCTCAGCGTGCTTGGTCCCATCTTGTCACTTTATGACCCCGCAGAACCCCAACATATGGGGAGTTGCCCTGTGCCCAGCCTAAGAGGATCCCTGCGGGTTTGGAAGGCAGATTCGGGGCTGGTTTTTGGAGCCCGGGAGCCTCATGGGCTTTGGCTGGCTGCTCCCCAGAGCACCTCTCTTGGTTGCTCCCTTGCTGAGCATCAGCTCTGTCCACATGGGAATGGTTCATGGCACTTGCCAGTGGCTCAGCTGGTGCTGGTGGTGGATTTTGTCCTCACAATGCCATGCAGGTAGCACCAATGACCACCGCTCATGGCATGGTGTATCCTCGGCACCCTCTTCCCTTCACCAAGCTGGCTGCCCACAGCATGGTCACCCTTCACTCCAGCGCTGGTGGCACATCTCCTTGCTGCCGCTTGTACCCCTGCATGGAGGGACGTAGGTTGCCTTGCTGCTGCTCCCAGCCTGTCTCATGGAGACCTGAGTGGCCCACAGTAATACATTTGCTGATGTATTGTTGTAAAAGTTCCTGTGGGAGTACCTGTCCGCGGGGAAGGGGGGCTTCCCGACCCTCAGGATGAAGCACCGGCCTGGAGCTGGTGCCAATTTACAGCTTGTGGTTAGGCAAAGAGCACCATCTAAGAGCAGAGGATATTGGAAAGTGTGGGGCAGGCTTAAGCGGAGTGAGGGTGGGAAGGTGGGAAGTGGGCTCACTTCTGGGTCAGGACAAAGCCAAACGAGGTCAGGGAAGGTGGTGTCATAGCATCGGGACAAAGAGCTGCCTGATGAGGAAACAAAGCCATTGCTTAGGAAATGGAATATGGCCGAGGCTGGAGCGGGCTGATGGGGAAGTGAAAATAGCAAGTGGGGGGTACTTCGAGCAATCCAGGGCTCTGCAGTGATACCTGAAGCACCCTGATAGCGTGGGGCTGTCTGATGAGCTGGGACTGTGCCAGGGTGAGCCGAGGAGGAGGAGTCGGGTGGGAGATAAGGAAATGAGGAGGGGAAGGCAGACAGCGGGAGGGGTACCTCTGCGCCGGGCGTCTTGCGTTGCAGAGATTCCCTTGCTCATGCTATGTTTGAAGCATCTTTATCTGATCGCTGGTGGGTCTCCAGGCGAGAGGTGTGAGAGCCCGTCAGGGACGCAATCCCTCTGTCCTCCGGGGCTGGGCTTCCAGAGTCCTCTCATCTCAGAAGCCATGCGCACGAAATTTCCCTCAGAGTGAATGCCTGGGAGTATAAGATGCCATTCAATCTCCCTCCAGAGAATAATTAATTTCATAAAAATTTAAAATCATTTAATTTTGCATAATGGGCAGAAGCAGGCCTAGGCTCTAGCTTTTTTTTGGAGTTGCAAGCACAATAGCATGGAGAACTTCCAGGCATAGTATCTGGCTTGGAAAATGCTGCCGGAGGATTAGGCAAGTGAAATACCTGGAGTCTCTGGCTGGTATCTAAAGTCACATCTGATGCTTAGATTTCAAACCGTGGGAGGGGGTGGGAGAAGCTTTCCTTTAAGAACTTTTTCTCCAAAAAACCAAAGCAAAACGCACCAAACAAAAACTCTGGGTGGGACAAAGAGGTAGATATTTATTACCCTGAGGATCAAGAAATCATAAGACATCTGTTCTATTTACTGCGTTTAAATTCGTATTGTTATACAAACTCCACCTCTAGCTGTGCAGCTTCTGGAGGGACAAGTTGGTACGGAGTGATCCTGAAAAGATGAGAGAGATTCCTGGAGGAGAGATTTACATTGCGTATCATCTTATCACCAGTCTGTCCCTCTTGCTTTTTTTTTTTCCCCTGCACAGCAAAAGAGATGATTAAAGAGCCGGGGATTTAATTACAGCCAGGTATGCCTAGGGGGAAAACCCACTCGGTGAAAGGACCTTGCAACAACAAACAGAAAGTTCTCCAGTTTCCTGGCTTTGAAGAATTTAAATCTGTGGAGGGGGGCAGGTTGGAGGGGGAAAGAAAGCGATTAGGCTGGAGTTTGCAAAACACACGGTCCTCTTCCCCCCTGTTTGGCAAAGTGCTGCCTTCAGCAGTTCGGTCCTCACCATCAGCTCTCCTTCCAGTCCCACCGCCCTCCTGCTTCTCTGCAAGACCTGAACTACTTATCAAGCACTTTCTGGCATCGCCGTGTCAGTAAAACAAATCCCTTTCCCCCGCCACCCAAGGTTTTGCACTACCTCCAGCCCGTGCAGAAAAGCCTCGTGGTTTTTGTTGCCCCCTGCGGTCTGCCCCAGCCGGTGCCCACCCGCGCGTCCCACCCCAGCCGGCACCGCGCTCGCCCTGGGAACTGCCAGCCGGGCACCATTTCAAAGGCGGGAGATACTGGTCCAGTGTGTGGGAGGCTGCCTCTGATGTGAATCATGCTATCTGCGCTAGGGATGGGGCCCCTCATCTTCTCTGCTAGGCTGGACCAGCTTATCTGGCCTGCTGCGCCTGGCTCTCCGACCTTCTCGCGTCTTTTCATTTCCAGGCTGTTGGGTGAAAGGGAATTTATTTTGTTGTTGGGCTCTGTCAAGCTTTCGATCGGTGCTGATGGAAGAATCTCTAGCAACAGCCCTGTGTCCGCCGAGCGTCGGCGTAACTCCTCTAGCGTCCGCCGATGAGGTTGGCTACTTGCAGGTGCCAGTCCTGCTCAGCAGCGGCTCCATGCAGCAAGGCTTGTGCTTCACCGTTCAAAAGTCTTCCAAAAACTAGCACCTTAAACCTTCAAACAGCAACAATCTTTTCCATCCTGCAAGGGGTTTCTGAATGTTGTTAATGAGGTTCACAATAAAATGGGCAGTTGGCTCTTCTGAGCAAATGGGAGCTGCTGTCTTCCCAGAAATCAAACACAGTGGTAGAGGTAAAGAGTCTTTTTCTACGTGATCAGCTGAACTAGTGTAACGAATCCCCAGTTTGGCAAATCCAGCATAACGACAAGGAGAGATCTGGCTGTTCTTACGCATTTCTTATTTGCCTTTAAAGAAGGGGGGAGGGGGGGAAGGAAAAAAAGAAGAGTTGGTTTATCCTGTGACATGTGTACACAGCCACGGGCAGCGCCTGTGATTTCACTTGCAAACAATTTCCTCTCTCTTTTGTTTATTGATGACAGAAGGCATTCCAGCCAGGTACAGCTGGCTCTTCCCCGACTTCAAAGGAGGTCAGGTTACAAAGGCAAGTACCAGCCAGGCAAAATGAAACGCAGAAGGGAAAGGCCCATCGCAGCCGATCTCAATGGGAGGTTGCGTGGAAGGGAAAAGCCCGGAAAGCGCCAACAGGAATAAAAATAAGGATAAATCCCATTGCTGCCTTTTCGGTGCCACCAGGGCTTATCCATGGGAGGGATGACAGCCGAATCATCCGGGATGCCCCCGCTATCCCCTGGCAGTACACGTCCGAAACCTTACACGGGAGAGTAAGGCACATCAATCGCCTTTTGCTTCCTCCTTCCCAAACGTGCCTGCGCCGGCGGCTGCCGCTCGTGCAAACTGGGGGCCTGTGCGCCCGGGGAAGAGTGTGGGCTGGAAGTAATGGTCGCAATTCAGACTGGAAGTGAGGCCGGAGCTCCCGGTGACTGGAAACATTATCCAGCGCCTAAATCAAGGCACTAGTGTTTGATAGTGTCCAAAATTAAGATGTGGGCTTTGCCTGCCTGGGGCTCGTGGCTGGATCAGCAGTGACTGTGCCGGGGAGGGAGTCCGGCAGCCCGCGTAACCACTGGGGAGGCTGCAGTCTGTATGACCCAAGGGTGGCTGCTCAGCCCCAAAGGGAAAGCAGGTGACTTGGGCTGACACTTGCCCTTGGAAAAAGTCCCAGTGCTGAGTTGGTTGGCTCAGCAGTGGTGTTTTACCTCGTCCACGTATTGCCCCAGTCCGAGTGACGGGGAAGCCCGTGCTGAAGGACCTTGGCACAAGGACCGTCCCCCGGCCCCGCTTTCTCTGGGGACAGCCCTGGTGGCCTCCGGTTTGCCTTTCTCCAGGTCCTCCCTGCTTTGCTGCAGCAGCGCTCGCTCCTTGTGCTTAGGTGCTCACGTGTAGTGATGGAGGCGTTTTTGGGTCCGCCACTCCCACGGCCATCAGATCGGGCTGCTCTGCGACGTTGCTGATGACCTACCCCAATGACTCAAGGAAGTGCAGGGACTGGGCTGCACCTGCACGGTGTATCCCGATTAAATATGCCGTTCAAGTCCGGGCAAATTGAGAAACATTTCCTTTCCTCCGGTGGCTCAGCAGAGCTGAGCTGGGGTTCGGGTGATGCCACGGCTGAGTCAAGCCATGCCCTGCGATGGGGCTCAGCCCCCCATCCCGCGTGACTCAGCACAGCGAGCCGGCGGGAGGGACTGGGAAGTTGCAAAAAGTTAATGACGATTCTTCATTTTAGGAGCACTCAGCTTAATGAAGCGTTACTCAGCGGCTCCTCCACCCACCCCCCTGAGTAGGAGCCGCCGGGGTTGGTATCAGCCTCCGCCCGTGTCCGCGGCAGGGCTTTCAGCTGGGATGACTCAGGTCACCCCATGCATCGTCCGAGCACTGCACCGCAGCAGGTCCGCCGGTGTCACCGAGGCCACTCGGCGGGTGACACGACCCAGGAGAGACACGCAGGGCCCATGCCACTGTCATGCAGCAGCCGGGCACACGTGAGCTGAGCTCTCAAGCCCTGCCTGAGGGTGGGGATGGGAACAAAAAGGAGGCAGGAAAAGCGTTTACTGGGAACCAGAATGTCTGCTTGGCACGACGTGCCCTCGTGTCAAAAATGGCTTGTGCTCTGAAGCAGTGTGTGAAGAGTCAAATTTTGATGCTTTCCATTAAGTTGTAGCTTGTTGGAAATACATTAAATTTGTAGCTATTGTTTTTTGTCATCTTTATTTTATTTTCACTCTATTGCTATTTACTTTTTGCTTTCTTATTTTATTTTAATAATTAAATTGCTTTTTCTGGACTGCTTGCAATAGATTAATGTTTCCTTTTTTTTTAATAACTTTCTTATTTGTTGTGCACTCATTTCCTTTCAGTTGAGTTTGAGTTTCACCCTTAGGACTAACACAGCAAGGTTAAGCATGGCGTAGCATCATTCCAGGTCCAAGCAGAGCACCGAGGTTTTTTCCAGGCTGGACTGCCATTGAAACGAAGCCATCACACCAAACAAAGCATTTTGAACTAGAGCTCTTCTTTCAAGTCAGAGGGGTTTTTGCTTGGATCAAACAAACCCTTTCAAGGCAGGGAGAACTCGGTAGATTCCTATCTGTCCCTCCCCTGAAACGCAGTCGGTCAGGGTTTGTTTTCAAAGTGATGTCTTCCAGCCTCTGTCCTCTCGTGTCCACTTGGGCCAGCGTCACTTGAAGTATGGAGATGCCGAACAGAGAAATAAAAGAAGGAATCTTTGCTCTGCAAAGTGCTGGAAAAGCCAAATACTTCCAGGGATTTAAATTTTTTTGCTCCTCTTTATCTCCCCCAGTTTTTATTTAAAATCTGTAAAACCAGTTCCCCATCCCTCATGTCTGCGCATACTGCCGGGGCTGGGTATTAGCATCTCCGTCGTACTTGTTTCCTGTCTAAAAATGATGAACCACCCAATTTGTATATTTATAGTTTAAAATAATGGCAAGAGAAGGTACAGGAAAGGAGGCATTTTCCTCCTCTGCATACAAAAGTACAGTTTTTCTTTGGAAGGACTTGCCAAGAATGAAGACCTTAGTATTAATTCTATTTGACAAAAACACCACAAGTTAGTTAGTTAGAAAAATTCATTTGTATCTGCAAGCATCTTTAGAAAGTCTCAATCACCGCTGGTGAGTAGGCAGTGGTGGTAAACTCAGGTGTGCACCCTGAGTAAAGGCTTTCAGCTGACGGGATGGACCTATCCCTCGGATGCAAAATGCTTGAAATAACGGATCATGTCTTCCAGCCATTTACCATGACAGTGAGGTCCCTTTTTCTCCAAAAAAAGCAAGGGAATAACCCATTTGCTGCCTTTCATTTGCTTGAAGCACTGTAGCAGTTCTCTTTTAAGCTTGTTTAAATTGTTATACATCGGGCTTGATGGTGCCTGTGTGCTTCTTTCCCAGGTTGTCCAGGGCCTGGTTGTTGGAAAACTCACTAACCACTGCTCGGAGAGGACCCTGCTCAGGCTCAGCGTCTTTGTCTTCGCCGGCGTGGGCCTAGGCATGGTAAGGCTCGGTGTGAAACAGTGCCTTTTAATAACGCAGCGGCACGAGGTCCGTGAGACCTGGCTGCAAGCTCTGCTCCGTGAAATGCCACCACTGGCTTTGCTGGGTGGTCCTCGGGGGGGGAAACCAGCTCTCCTGGGCCTCTGTGCAAACAGAGCCACGCTCAGCGTAAACACCGCGCCAAATAACGATAAAGAGCCTTGTGAGTAATAGTTACGGGGATTCAAAAAAAAATTAATCTGGCACAGAAACTCGTTAAGTCCCTCCTGAGTCACTGGATTTACATAGAAATCCTGCCCTCGGTCTTGTCAACGACTGCATTTCCTGAACTACCCAGAAAGTAAATGAAGATTGGGGG